CAGCACATAGTAAGCGTGTCTGTTTCTACACCTTTCCACTCCCAGATTCAATTCTACATCATATCTGCTAGTGTTTCACCTTCCCCTCATTCACACACTGCAACACCACATTGTTTCTTTTCATTATTCTCCTCTTCCCAAAAATGGCCATGGCAGTTGCTTTCTCTCTCTCTTCTCCCTCCTCGGCTCTGTTCCAGTCCCGCCACTCCTTCGCCAAGTGTCTCGCATCAAAGCAAAACTCGCCCCTGCAACTGGAACAGACGAAATCCAGAGACAACACCCCAATCACTCTACACTCTTTCTCTCCGTTCCCATTGTTATGCGCCGCCGCTCTTTTACCCGGAGGTAAACACTTCCCTACTTTTTATGTTATGCGTAACAATCTATCACACCAATTTCTGTTATCTATCAACAGCTGAAGCCGTGGGTTCCGTTTTCGGTCCTTTCGTTGACGTTGTCAAATCGTTGAATCTTCCAGATTGGCTCGTTCATTGGGGCCACCCTGCCAACATGGTAACTAACTAACAATAACTTCATGTAGTTTTTCCATTTGAATAAAATTAGAACAAAAAATTTAAATTAATTTCTCTTTAATTAGTGGAAATTATAGAAACTGATTCTAGTCTATTTTATTTTTCTTTTCGAGAATGCTTATGTAGAAAGTTAGTTTGTTAATGGATTTTGCTGTTTTGACTTTCAGGCAGTCGTGCTCTTTGCCATGGGTGGCTATGGCACATATCTGGGATTTCGGATTCGTTATTCTGAAAATGTGGTATGTTGATCAAATCTTTTCCCGTTTCATTGCTTACTACTGTGGAGTTTTTATGATTTGAGTATTTTGCAGGAGGAAAAGGCTAAGGCTAAGGATTTACACCCTAAGCTTTTAGCTGGTATGTTTTTCTTCTTTGCTCTTGGAGCTACTGGGGGAATAACTGCTCTACTCACTTCGGATAAACCCATTTTTGAGAGGTCATTTTTCAATCTTCTACTTGTTTTTTTATTCCAATTATTCATTTTCAACTGCAATTTAAACGAAAAAGAATCATGTTGCTCTTTTTATGCTCTGTTGTTTGCACGCAGTCCTCATGCTGTTACAGGCGTAATTGGCCTAGCTTTATTGACAATACAAACTGTATTGCCCTCACTCTTTGAGGTAACTAATGCTTATTTTTTTTCCTTTTATGATAATCGATTACTTGCTAGTAGTAAACGCTGAAGTTTGTTTATGAATATCAAATGAGTTTACAAATTTAATTAGAGAGCTGTCTTGCTTTGAGCACTGTAAAGAAGCAACTATACCAAATTAGTTCATGAACGGAATTAGATACATCTTTCAATTTGGTTGTCCTTACTCTGGGTTACTTCAAAATGATATGCAGGGAAATCCCGGACTAAGGAATGTTCATGGTATCTTGGGTAGTGGTATCATGACACTTTTTCTAGTTCATTTTGCCCTTGGACTTCAATTAGGATTTAGTTACTAATTGAAGTTTCCATTGGACTTCAATTGTTATGTAGAGGTCATTCATTTTAATTATGGTGTACATTCTTTCCTGCACAGGTTCTTAGTTCCAATTGTGAGCTCTGATTATCATGATTTTTTGTCTGGACTCTATCATTTTGCTTTTAAAAACAGCTCAGAGATTGGTTACATACCCACACGCTATTTATAAGCATAAAATGACTACAGTTACAACCTATCTGAAAACTTCACGATGAGAGAGGGAGTTGGAACTTGAGATTTCAGTATAATAATTGTAGAATTACTAACAACTATTTTAGATATTATAATAATACAACTTAAATAATGTATACTACATTAATAAACATCAACTTGGGAGGAATAAGAATATTGTAATGAAGTCCACAAAAAGAAAGATAATGGTTTTTCCACTCGCAGCACTGCTCACCCAATTCAACACTTTGATCCCAATAATTTAATAAGCAATTTGGCAATGAGGTAATGGTTCTCCAGAAAGATTTCTAAACCTAACGTTAGCAACAGTGCTGATGAATAATAACTTGGTCTACAGCGACCCGGCTGTAATTTCATATTATTGGGCTACACTCTGAAATGGCAAGAACATATCAGTATTAATAACTTGCCACACTCCACATTTTTAACGCCTTTTTTCATTGAGCATTATTATCCTTCACTAAAATATGCTCAATTATCAGAAGCCTGGAATTTTAAAACAGAGGTTCATTGGGGATTTTGCACCCCATTTACTACATTCACTACAAGAAATTAGGCAATTAGTGTCCGATAAAACCCCATGTAATGATAAAAAGAGCCGCTGCTAATTGTTATAACATCAATCTTACGTTTTAAGTCAGTGTTGAATGTACTAATGAATGGTAATAGAATATACTAAAGATAATCAAACCTCATAATGGACAAGATGGGTTGCCAATCCCCTTCCACCTTCCTCCAGCACGTGCCAAGCATATTACATGAATGATTACATATAAATAGATTTTTACGTAATTCTCTAATTTTCTTCATTTTAAAAAACTTATGCTAATTTAACCACGGCAAGGTGTGTGAAGAAGGAGAAAGGCCTCACATGCAGATAAAGAATGAAAGAAAAATAAAGCAAGTACCTGTAAAACATATTTTAAGACTCTGAAACAGAAACGTTACAGTATAAGATACAAGGGAAACCTCGTGTGTGTATACATATATATATATATATATATATATATATATATATATATATATATATATATATAGATTATGATATTTGTA